GATAGGTACTACAGTGGCATGCTTAAGGTCAGTAGGGATAATGTCAGAAGAGAGAGAGCAGTTGAAGATGTGTGTTAAGGAACCCACATGACAGCGGGAGAGAGAGCTAATAAGTTGAGATGGGACAGGATCGAGTGGGCAAGTGGTGGGGGGAGAGGAAAGGAAAAGCATAGCCACCTCTTGTTCAGTTGCCAGGGAAAAAGTCTGAACGGTAGGAAAGGCATGATCTATGTATGGTTGAGAAAGAGAACTGCAAGGTGTGGAGAATTCTTTCCTTAGCTGTTCAATCTTGTCGGTAAAGTAGCATGCAAAGCTATCGTCTTTAAGGTTAGTTTGGGGGGTGGCCACAGCAGGGCGAAGAAGAAAGTTAAAGGTGTCAATGAGATGCCTGGGATTGCGGGAGGTGAACTAATGAGAGAGGAAAATTATGACTGTTTGGTGAGGGCAAGTGCTGCGCTGTATGAACACAATATGAATCTGTAATAGAGATAGTCTGCCTGGGTGCGAGACTTCCTCCAAGAGCGTTTAGAACAACGGGAGCATCTTTGCAGGTAGCATGTTGATTTAGTATGCCATGGTTGGAGTTGTGTCCTCCTCGAGGTGCATGTTTGGAGCGGGGCTGCAGCGTTCAAGGCAGAGGTGAGGGTAGTGTTATATCTGGAGAAGGTCAGTGAGGGACAGGAGGGGGAAGGGATGGATAGCAGTTGTGAAACAATATCATCTGACAGCTGCTGGAAGTCAATAGAATTAAAGTTCCTCCTGAATTGAGGGGGGTTAGGCTGATGTTGTTGGGTGAGGGGGTTCTTGAGAGCAAACGATAAGAGGTGGTGATCAGAGAGAGGAAATTTCAATGTTGCAGATATTAGATACTGTACATGCATAACAGAAAATGAGGTTGAGAGTATTGTCAGCTACATGGGTGGGTGAATTAGCCCACTGTGAAAGCCTGAGGGAGGAAGTGATTGAAAGTGCATGTCACCCAAATTGTCCATACATTCCATCCATACCCCTCCTAGGATGACAACTGATACATTGAGAACCTTATGGATTATTTGACATTCTCCACCACTCCACGCACACTTCTACAGCATAAACATTGTACTGTTTTGTTTTTCCTTTATCTCATACTGCAGTTCTTAGATATTCTCTTCAGTTACAGAAACCTGGTATAACCTCTTAGATAAGTATGCAGTTGAAAAAACATATACCCACCCTAGGTGTGCCTGAAGATCTTCTGAAGATCAACCTATCTAGGGTCAAAACATTTGTCATGTGCCAGTAGATGTCCTTTCAAACATTATATACTTCAGTCCCACTTTGTCATCAAATATAGATGGAGCTTAATTTTCTCTAGTACCTGCTTAAAGTGTCTCCTAACACACTGACTATATATTTTATCAGACAGATAAATTATATAATAAATTCTTCACTTAATTTATTTCTGAGCTGTTAATGAATCTTCAGTGCCTCTGCCGTGACAGAGGGCTGGTGGGCCCTTCTATCCTCTACCTAGCTGCTTCAGTCTTATCTGTATCTGTATTTTCCCTGAGTTTTTTCCTGAAATTGCAGTATTTACATTAAAATGTCTGCACTATAGACACCAGAACAATTACATTAAGCTGTAGTTGTTCTGTGGTGACTATAGTGTCCCTTTAACTCCTACAGTAGTTCTGATATTTGTTCCCACTTTTCACTGTTTTCACACCGAGCTTCCGACCCCTCCTGTACCTGCCCACCGCCCGCTGCAGTACCCGCTGCAGTACCCGATATGACAGGAAGTGCTCCCTCAGTCACAATACACAAAGGGCAGGAGGGGAGCAGCACAGCTTTCCCCAGCTGCCATCAACTACGGGCCCTGGGCCGGTGTGGCTGTGTCCCCTGGAGTGACGGGCCAGGTCTCAGCGACGGGTTAGGTACACCCAGGGACGTATTAGCCGCGAGGCAAACAAGGCATTTGCCTTGGGCGGCATTTTTCAGGGGGCGGCAAAAAACGCCGCCCCCAAATGCCCAGGGCAATTGCCTTGTTAGCCTTGCGCCTAACTGACATGCCGGGCGGGCGGCGCTGGGCGGGCGGCTGGCGGCTGGCGACCGAGCTCTTCCTCTGAGCTGACGTCATATTCCGGCTCCCAGCCTCACTCTGCGGCGCGCGAGGGAGCTGAGCAGTCAGCTCAGAGGAAGTGCTCCCTCGTCAGCCGCCTGCCCAGCAGCCAGCGCCGCCCAGCAGCCACTGGACCACCAGGGAGAGAGAGACCCCCCCCAGCACTCCCAAAGGTAAGGAGGCTGGGGGGGGGATTAAAAAAAGTTAATGTGTGTGTGTGTGTGTGTGTGTTTGTGTCTGACTGTGTTTGTGTGTTTGTGTCTGACTGTGTGTGTGTGTATTTAGAAGGTGGAGCGGGGGGGGAAGGGTTGGGTGAGGGGGACGCGGGGGGAGGGAGGCGCCTGAGTTTTGTCCTGCCTAGGGCAGCACAAACCCAGGATACACTACTGGGTACACCACTGTTGGCAGGTTTGTATTTGTGAGTAGTTTTTGTGTGTTTGAATGTAAGCATGTTTTTCTATAGAGTATGTGTGTGCATGCCGGGGTGTATTTCTATGCATTGTTACCCTTGGAATGGAGTGGTGTACATGTGTGTAGTGTTTGAGTTTGAATGCAAGGATTTGTGTGTTTGTATGTAGTGTTGACTTTTAAATGCAGGTGTACTTTTGTGTCTTTATATATAATTTATATATAATTTAAGCATTTTAATACGGGGGCTGTTTGTATGTAATGCCTCCATTTGCATGCACGGGAGTGTTTGGATGTAGTGCTGTCTTTCAAATGCCGATGTAAATTTGTGTGTTGTATTGGTGTTTTGAGTGAAGGGGTGTGTTTGTATATTTTTCATTGCTGCGATGTATGCACAGACATACTTACACAGCTATAGATACACATTAACACACACATACAAACACACTGACACATGCACTCACCTTGACACATGCTCACACCTTGACACACAGATACATAAACTGACACATAGCTACACATGCACGGGAATATACACACACCTTGACACAAAAATACATGCACTGACACACCGATACACACACTGGCACATACACACACTCACTCAGATACACACATTGGCACATACACACATACACTTAAAACACACTGACACACAGATACACACATTGACACACACACACACACACACACACACACACACACAAACTCAGTTAGACACACAGAGACACACACACAGATACACACAGACACAAAGTAGCACACACATACAGTCACACACTGGCACATTCACACTCATAGTTACACATAATGACAAACATATATACACACACTGACATACATACACTGACGCACAGATACACACACTGACATGTACACACACACAAACACACGTTATAATTTTTATATCTGCAGCCATATTTTTTCATGTTTTTTAAATTTATTTTTTTAGTTTATCCTTCAGTTAATATAGAATAACACTTTCTATTTTAGCTTTAGCTGACAATATTTGAAAGTGAAAAAAAAAATGTTAGCAAAAAAATGGTGATAAGTATAAGAATGTATAGAAAGTGTGTGGAAAGTTTAGATATCACACATTCACAAGATAATGCAGTTTTACTGACAAACAAATCACAAGGCAATATTTGTCATGAAGAAATGTTTTTGCTTCAGACACTAACATTACAAATATTCTCATATTCTCATATCATATGATCATTGTTTGAGAAATCTAAATGTAAATTTAAAACCCTAGAAGTATATTTGTATTGAGATGGGACGGATGTGGGAGTATGAAGACTAGTAAGACAATTTGGGTGGTAACTGCAATTGAGTATAAAGGGGGATGTATGAGTTGAACTGCTGATGTTTGAATGATATGCAAATTCATCAGAAGACAACATATCCTTCCAATCCCCTAGGTATGTGGTATAACAACAAAGGTATGTTTCAGGAGTTTGGTTGGTTCTTTCAGTCTGTCCATTTGATTGAGGGTGAATAGACAAGGCAACCATAATGTGTAAAGAGTGACAAAAGGCACGCCAAAACCTGGAGGTGAATTGGGTACCTCTGTCAGATAAAATGGACTTGGGTATTAAATGCAATTTGAATATCTTGTCATGGAATAGTGAGGCTGTTTTCTTCACAGAAGGTAGTGCCATAATGGGAAATAAATATGCCATTTTTGTTAATTGATCAATTGATTAATTGGTCAATCGGATCACTATGATGGCAATACATTCTTGTGAACCAGGTAATTCCACAATTAAGTCAACAGTTAAGTGAATCCAAGGGTGAGGGGGGAATAGGTGGTGGTTGTAAGAGCCCATCTGTTTTCCTATGACTTGATATGGAACAGCCACAAGTGGTACATGAGGTGAAGTATGGTGTCTTGTGATGAGGGAGGCCACCATAAATGTTATTGTACATTGAGAAAAAATGTTCTCAGATGCATCGTAATAGTATTGCGAGACTTGCAAAAGGATAGGTTCAGGTATGAATATCTTCTGTTTTGGGAGAGTGATAACGGCTGTTGTGAGACTGTTGTGTGAGAAGGAGGAGGTAAAACTACTCTGAATCCTGGGGCATAAGCCTTGTTCGAATTTCCTGGTTCGGCTACAGAACGAGGACCACCCCAGCACCCCATTAGAACGTGGAACACCAGTTATCAAGTGCGAAACCGGAAAAAAAAACAATTAATAAATGCTCCCCTTTTGTGCAACCGAACACACGTGGTCGACAGAATGCAAGGTGGCCATTTTGTCTCCCGAACACAGGCAGCTGTACATGGTCGTTGAGTGCCTGGAACTCCTTTTGGGTAGACACTGGTGCGAACACCGGTGAAGATGTAGCCGCTGCCTGTCCCAGTTCCCGACCA